TCGGTCTTAAGGATCCAACTTTTTTAAAATGTTTTGGCATATCAAGAAGTGAATATTCCGAAAGTTATATTCTTATGGAATATGCTTCCAAAGGTAGCTTGCGCAAAAACCTACATACTATAGCACAAATGGATTGGAAAGACAAATTAAATTTGCTACAATGTATTGCATCAGATCTTCAGATAATTCATTCTCATCATCTTATCCATCGGGATTTACACAGTCGAGCTATACTACAAGATACCTTGAGCAGTGCATATATTGCAGGTTTAGAACTTTCAATAAAAGATAATATTGCATCAAAATCAAAATCCGATGAGATTTTTGTTATTTTACCATATATTGCTCCTGAAATTTTGAACAAGCAACCATATACTAAAGCATCCGATATTTATTCATTTGGCATGATTATGTGGGAAATTTTATACGGTAAACGTGTTCATCATGAAATAAACGACGAAATAGAATTTCAATTTCAAGTACTTGATGGTTTGCGACCACATATTTACGAAAATACAGCAATTTGCTATGCTGATTTAATGAAGAAATGTTGGAACATGGTGCCGCAAAAACGACCAACAGCAGACAAACTTTATGATATTTTTGTAGAATGGCAAAATAGCGAATATATTTTATCACAATTATATGAATCTGATATAGAACTACGAAATATAGAAAATATATTGATTCACGTCGTAACAGTTACAGTAGCTTTATTTCATATCAAGGTAACTATAAATTTTCATTTTAAATAAATTGTATGATTGTATTATTCTTATAGCATTGTTTAATGGTTTTTTTATAGGTGACGAATTAGATGAATTAGATGAATTAGAAGTACCAGGTAATATGAAATAGAACATATAATCGATTGTTCGAAAATGAAGAAATGGAGTCATAACAGCATTAAAATTATATTAATAATGTTAACATTCCATTACATGAAGGTCCAACTTAGTTAATAAAGCATAATTTCTTTATATTATTTTTATTTCCGAAATCGGGAGGGTTGCTTTTTGGAATTTCAAAAAAAAAAAAAATCTAATTTTGATCAATTATGTGTATTTTCTTTAAAGTTTTGATTTTATTATTGAAAAATTTATACTATAGTACAATGTTATTTGGAATTTTAAAATTTTCGAGTTTTTAAATTATCAACCCTCTCTTAGATTTATGTGTAAACATTATTATATTGTATATCTGATATGTAAAAAAAGCAATATAACTAGATTACAGAGTTTATTATAAATGTTACGTATCTACATTCATTTTTTGACTTTTTTTATTTTAATATAATAAAAAAAAAAAAGTAACATTTTTTACTACGAAAAACTTTAAAAAATCGATTGTCCTACAGTAATAAATCCCGAAAAAAAAAATAGAAATTTATGTCTTCGCTACCATTTTCGTCAGTGATATAGTGATATAAATTTTCTTTCTATTTTAGTGCTTGGTGATCACGAAAGCATATGATCAGTATGTGAGAACATAAAATAAGGTTTCGATATAAACCCACCTTAATTTTTCAATACATAATACGTAATCAAACTTTATAATTGGCTAGCTTATTGGAGATCATCATCGCCATGTTACACGAAAAAGATTATATAACGGCAGTGTCCAATTTCAATATTTAAAGTTTTTTTAAAAGATGGATTTACAACATCGTTCTGTCACTATTCAATCAATTCAAAAAGTAACTGAAATAATTATTGCAAATCCTGGAGCCGCAAAATCATACCCAAAAGGCAAAAATGAACCTTCACCTTTGGATAAACTCTGGAATTTTGTTAAATCGGAATCTGGAATCATATCATCAAATGCTGTTAACAAATTAGTTGAACTTGTTCAAAAGGGAATTGTTAATTGGATTGATGCTCTTAACGGATTGACAGATGCACTATCAACTCTTTCAGGAATTTCACTTGATAATGCTATAATAGGTATAACTGAAATATTATCAAATCAAGCGTACATAGGTGAATATTATTTTAATCATGGGAGGCATCCTTTTATCATTGCGACGACAATTAAGCCTGAACAAACATGTACCATCTTGCTTTCTCAACTTGAAAAGATTTTTGATATTTCTAGAATAAAATTTGTTGAACCTAACACTCCTCAAAAAAAGTCTGTGTATATGGAAAATTTATTGAATATGATGAAGCCATTTTTTTTGATCATATTTTGTTAGATGGAATGAAAGAAAATATTGAATTTCAAAAGTATTGGTCTTCAGTATTAATGCAATTCTTAATTCGTTTGATATATCAAGATACCGATGATAAGTTTTACTGGACCTTTAAAGAACCTTTATTAGAATATTTACTCTCAGTTGTTCAAAGAGTACCATTAACACCTATTTTTACTAACTCTACAAAAAACTTTATCACATCTAACTCTATATACATTCTTATACAATCTCTTGTTCAAATTGTGGGAGTAAATTTTATTCGAAATGGTTTGAATGAAGCATTTTTACAAAAATTTAACAATAATCTTGGAACTCAAATTTTGGCACTTGCTTGCGATGCACAACATGCTAATTTATCAACAAACCATTATATTTCGTTATTTCACAAAATATCAATACCTCAAGGTTCTTTAAATCATT